ATGGACAGTAGCACCTGGAGCCCATCGCCCACCACCGCTGCTGCTCCAGTGGAATCCTATGAGCGCATCCGAAATGCTGCGGACATCTCTGTCATTGTCATCTACTTTGTGGTTGTGATGGCCGTCGGGCTATGGGTATGTAGGGGCCCTGAGACCAGAGCTGAAGGGGGGCACACAAAGGGCTGGTGTCTCTGAGCTGCCAGGAGATGGATGCAGGCAAGTGGGAAAGCGTTGGAAACCCTTGAGAGGTGTTGAGGGGTGCAATGTGTGGACAGCAAGCAAGCATGAAATTCAGTTAGAGGGGATCCCAGGGGAGCATCAGGAAAGCCAAGAGATTCCTGGGGCCTATGAGCAAAGAAGGAAGGTGGAGGATTGCTGAGACAAGGAGAGAGTAAAAAGGGCAGGAAAGTGCCAGGAGGCAAAGAGGGTCAACCAGGTGACTACTGCCTTATGTTAGTTAACCAACTTGAAATGGGAAAAAAACCGTGTCAAGCCAGAAAGTCACAGCCCCTGTCAGGCTCAGGTGCTTGGGGCAGTCTGTGGGGGAGGCTGACCCATGTCACTGCTCCTGGGGAAGGTTAAACAAGAGGCCTTTGCCAGGGAATCCCAGGGGCTGGAGCTAATTAGGAATGGGGAAGTTATATGGAGCAGGAGGAGGAAGACCAGAGAGTGCCCTGGTGCTGCAGAGAGGGAAGTGCATGTGTCTCCCCTTGGGACTCTGGGGACACACCAAACCAGAGAAACTTGTTCTCTGCATCCTGGAACTTGGAAAGTTCATTTATGACAGACTCTGGCACACCTAACACTAAAAGAGAAGGTATTTTAAAAGCTTTGCCACTTTAAATTCCAGCCACTTTCAAGGGTTTTAAATTCCAGCCACTTTTAAGGGTTGTCCTGGATGGGGGTGACAGATAGAGGGGGCTGCTGTGCCAGTCAGACCTATTTGTGTTGAACCCTTCAGACTTAGAGGGAAGGATGGGCACTAACCCTTCTATGGGCACTGAAACTTTCAGGAGTAAAAGGAAGTGTGGATTTTTTTATTTTTTAAAGAAATTATAGGGTTGGTGTGGCTTATTCTTCCTCAATATTCTCAGCTTCCCCCAAAAGAGTGGGAAATATTCAAGTAGGAGCCAGAATTGGCTTTCTCAGGCTTGAAACAAAATGACCAGGTAAGATAGCTTCCTATAGCCTCAGTTTACCCAAGAATAACATAGGTACAGTTGCATCTAATCTTATGACTTCTCAAAGATATTGTGAGGATCTGCAGAGATGAATCTGCAAACTTTTATAGACTTTGGGAATTATTTTTGGAATCTCATTTGCCCTACAGGGTGTTACCCAGACTCTGAATAATTTGGTCTGTTAAGGAAAATGGGCAAAATGGTTAGCTGGGTAGAACATCTATACAAAAAGCCACAAGACAGAAATAAATGCTAATCCCCAGTTTACAAAAGAGGAAGTTGAAACCCCAAGTGGTTGTGATTTGCCTAAGATTTTGCAATACATAGGGTTGTTCCTGGAACTCAGGCTGTCATGACTCCTGGTTTCTCAAGGTATCAGGCACACTGTCACTGTGTCTGCCTTAATACTTCCCACTTCTCCCCCGCTTATATTCACTGGATCCAAGATGTGAATCTATCATTTGGTAGCTATGCTATACTGCCCATTTCCCCGACAATCCCGATAATCTCAGTTTTGTAAACCAATCTCTTTAGCCCTGCCAGTACTACAGATGTTTACATTTTTTATGGTATTTGCACTTCTGAAATATCTGTGAATCAGTACCACTTGTCCTTTTAAATGCTGGTTAATGAGCCTGCTAGTATTTGTCGACATTTAATCTTCCCCCATTAGCAGTGCCCCTGGACCCTGATCATTTAACATGCTGAATTTCTTCCAGTCAAGACTCCCCTTTTTACTATGAAAGGATTAAGAGTGACTTTGGGATAGGCATTCTGACTCATGCCTATCCCAAAGTCACTCTTAATCCTTTCATAGTAAAAAGGGGAGTCTTGACTGGAAGAAATTCAGCATGTTAAATCCCTGTGCTGCAGGGATACAAGGGTCCAGGCCCATTTTAGCAACATCCCTCTGTCACCATCCTGTCACTTCCAATATTCTTCAGTAGTTTCATATTCTTCCATCTGTGACTCATTCGATCATACTTGAGCTTTGGATTGTGACTTCTTTGGTATTTATTTCCACTTTTATTTCCTCTCAGGTGGCTTCTTGGGGGACTTATATCTTCTGAAAGTGAATCTCTATACTTGTCATGCTGGAACATTTCAACTATCCTCTAACTCTCTCTGGCCAGGGTTTGTTAAAATTATGGTCCATGAGCCAAATCTGACCCACACCCTGTTTTTGTATGATCCACAAACTAAAAATACTTTTTACACATTTATCTCTCTCTTTTTATCTATCTATCTATCTATCTATCTATCTATCTATCTATCTATCATCTATCTATCTATAATTGAATCCATAGGCATTTAACTACTGAGCAACACTCTAGCCCTTTTTATTTTATTTTAGTTTTTTTTTTTTTAAATTTTGAGACAGAGTCTTACTAGGTTGATTATGGCCTCACTAAATTGCTGAGACTGGCTTTGAACCTGTGATCCTCCTTCCTCAGCCTCCAGAGTCGCTGGGATTACAAGTGTGTACCACCACACCCAGCTGCTTTTCACACTTTAAAGTGTCATAAATACAAAGCAAACCAAACCAAAACAAAACAAAAAATAGGGCAGCATGTATCCCACAAAATATTAAGCATTTACTATCAGGTTCTTTTTCCTTACAGAATAAATTTAATGACCCTTGTCTTATGTACTGAGCTAGAATGGTGTCTAATGCCTGAGCTGGAATGGTGTCTGGGTGAACCCTAACTTTTTTTATTTTACAGATTAGGATCAGAAAGGGTGGCTAGAAGTGAATCAGATGAATCAATATAGAGCTGGAATTAGGACTCAGGTCATAGATACCAAATCCAATGTTCTTCCCAATATTCTTTCTTGCCCCCTCTAAGACACTATTCTTTTTTGGAATACTCTCTCCTTTGACCTTTCAGCTGTGACAGTGACACAGTGACAGTGTCCAAGTGGTTCTGAGTTTCTTTTTTATGTATATATGTTCATAAAGATGAAACCTAAAGTTTATTGACTTCAATCCTCTTCATCTTATGCTTACATCTATTCTTTAATCCATTTGTCAAAGTCACTTTGGCTAGTTGTCAACATCCTTGACTTGAATACTTTCAGCAGAAAATCTTCCCAGTGGCCCCATGGCCATCTCTGAACAGCACTGACAAAAAGGAGCTGGGACCCAGCTTCAACCTGACATCCTGGGGCTTCTCCCATTTTTTTTTTTTTTTTTGTTATGCTCTATGCAGGATGCACTGAGTGTGACTGTCCTGTTTTACATATCAGAAGGTAATAGGCCACACCTGAGTCTTCTCTCCAGGCCCAACATCTCCGGTTTCTTAATCTATTCCTCATTTAAACTGAGGACTAAAGTTCCTTCCTTTTGCTCAATGATGTTTGTATTCCATTGAGAAAACCAAACCAACCAACCAACCAACCAAACAAAAAACATTCTGAGTTAATTGTTCTTCTTTTGCTCTCACAGCTTGCCATTGTGAGTTTATTCTCTTCTAGTTGTAGGATAGAGCGGCAAATTTAACACTATGGTTTACAAAGTGAACCCTAGGACCTTGAAGTTTTTTTTGTGCCTATCCTAATCATGAGACAGTGCTTTTCCATGCATAAGGCATTTACTGAGTTTTATAGGGATTAAAAATTTGTAATATGGTAACACAAAGTAAAAGAACATGTAAGGACTTTGAACAAGGTAACAATGGTGTTCTCTAGGTGATCAGAGGAGGGAGAGATTATTTTTGCCTGGGGAAGGGAAGAGTACATAGAAGAGATTTCCAAGGGGGGAGTGTCAGGTAGGGTTTTACAGGGAAGGTGACATTTGAGAGGTCTTGAGGGATGGGTAGGCAGAGATGAGGAGAGGATAACCATGCTGGAGAGGAAAGGCCTTGTGGAGGTGCACCTCTCTTTACCTTTGGTACATCTCCAATATCTTTTCTGAATTACTCCAGCTCCCCATTCTAGACCCTGCCCTTACATTCTTCCTCTAAGCTCTTCATTTCTGAAGAACTGGGAAATCTTTGTGTCTGGACCTCAACCTACTTTTCCTGTCTCCCTAATCACCTTCTTTGACTTCAGAATGATTTTTCCCTAACCCACCACTAAGTCATTGGGATTTATTTCTATTTCAGCCCTAGTGACCTTCTTATGTGTTTTAATCTGTTGGCTCTCCTGTTACTCTCAAAACATCCACTATAGAGCCCTCAGAGTATGTCCAATGGGATGGAAGACCCTGCTAGGAGTCCAGAAAGCCCTGATGCGCTCTCCTTGGTACTGCCTAGCACCCAGGGATGCTCAACAAATCTGTTATTAGATTAGATGCATAAATGATGCTGCTTCTTAAAGGACTCTATTCAATACTTCTTTGCTGTGTGACAATCTAGCAATGAGTCATCCACTGCAGACTTGTTTGCTGAATGAAGTTTCTAAATGCCTGAAATGTCACCATCAGAGGTTAATTTCTTTAGACCAGTGATGCCTTTTAGCCTCATGGTCAGCTATGAAAACACAAACACATCAGGTGGGGCTAAGTCCCTATCAGTCATTAATATTTTCGGGGAGATTAGCAAGTGTCTGCTGAGAGAAAGCCAATGTCAGAAAAGAGGAGGGCCAGGGACAAGCCTAATTTTATGCTGAAAGCCTGGACCTGGGCCTGGGCCTGAGCTCAAACAGAAATAAGCTGCAGTCTCAGAAACAACATTCCAAAGAAGGCTTGAGAAGAGCTGGTCATCATGCATTAAACATACATGTCACATTTCTCCTCCTAAGACTTCACTGACTGCTTATTGCTTATGAATACAGCCTGTAACTTTTAGCCTGGCATTTGAGATCTTGGCTCACCTCTCACCACTCTCCCTATTCATATGCCTCAGTCAGGTTCAACAACTAACACTGTTTGCCATTCCTTCCCTCCCCAGCCTGGGTGTAGTTCCACCTCTGGATCACTGAACTCCTGAAATCCCCCTCCCTTTTCCTTTAACATTTGCTGAAATGCTGCCCACTCTGGGAAGCTTTTCCTCTTGTCCTCTTTTTAGAAGAAATTGTTCCCTTTCTCTGTATTTATCACATTAGTCACAATATATTGCCAAAGAATGATTCCAGCAAGCTCCTACTTACATCTTCAGGGAGGGATAAATTTGTATTGAGTTTGAATGTCTGTTTTTTTAATGCAATATTTAGTATCAACATCTTGCAATCTTACAGTATTTTCTTTTTTGACAATAGCTTTATTAAGATACAATGCACATACCATATAGTACTTTTCAAAAGCATGATATTTTATTTGGTACATTGATATTCTTGCAAGAAAGAGGTTAAAATTTCTATTTCCAAAAGGTATTGGAGGAGAGGAGAAAAGAGAGGTACTGGAGAAAAATCAACTGAATTGTATTGTTATACCTTTTTGTGTGTGTGTGTTTACATGTATGAAAGCATGCATATATAACAGTAAATCTATTATGTATAATTATAATGCATCGATAAAAATTTAAGAGTTGCATTTCCTCCTATTTAATGAAAGCAAATAGATTCAGGTGGAGGGGCTTGTTCAGAGCCAATTGCAGAGTGAGTTAGTGTTACCAGCAGCCTAACCCAGAGATCCTGCCTGGATCCTGATTGGCTGGATCTGGCCACCCACCCACCCAATAGGCAAAATATGGAAAATAAAAAATGAATTATTTGCAGTTTGGTCAAACTAGGAAGAAGCAGTGAGGTTGTTTATCTGCAGGACCCACAGAAGTGGTTATAATTTGTAGAAACAAAAGCCAGATGGCATACATATGAATATTTAGTTACCTGCACTAGACAGACTGAGGCAGGGGGCAATTGCCATTCTGTTTCTTTGGCATCCCCCAGGCTAAAGATTTTATTCCCAGTATGAGGAAAGACACAATGCAGAAAAATACTTATCAGGAAGTTGTCCTTAATTTCAGTTTGTTTCACTGGCACTAGGGGAATTGTTTAAGCCTTCTGAGCCTCAGTTTCCTTGTCTGTCAACTGTAGGGCCCTGCCTCCATCATCTAAGTATCGTGAGGGTCCAGGGGAATAGGAAAGCAAAAGAAGGCCAAAAAGTGGAGTGGTTAAAGAAAGTGCCAGACAATATGTCAATCAATGGAAGGGTAACTGATGTGATACAGCAATCTGTATACAGGGTAAAATTGGGAGTTCATAACCCACTTGAATCAAACAGTGAAATATGATGTATTAAGAACTATGTAATGTTTTGAACGACCAACAATAAAAAAAAAAAGAAATAGTGTGATTTTCCCAGCCTCAATTTCTGCATCTATAAAATGGCAGAAAACAGAAATGAAAAGACAGTTAACTTTATAAGTAAATGAACATTCAATGAACACATAAGATGGGAATAAAATTAAGCAGTTTCCAACATAACAGGTTTCTTCCCTCAAGGACAGTTTGCCTCCTTCAACAGTTACAAGGGGGCTGGGGATATGGCTCAAGTGGTAGCGCACTCGCCTGGCATGCATGCGGCCTGGGTTCGACCCTCAGCACCACATACAAACAAAGATGTTGTGTCCACCGATAACTAAAAAATAAATATTAAAATTCTCAAAAAAAAAAAAAAGAAAGTGCCAGAATGGGAAGGTATGTCCTTGGCTGGTAAGGTCATTCTTCTAGTTTTCTATTAAATTTTGGACCCTTTCTTCCTTAGGCTATGTTTTCCACCAATCGTGGGACAGTCGGAGGTTTTTTCCTGGCAGGCCGAAGTATGGTGTGGTGGCCGGTAAGTTTTTTTCTGAAATTCTATGTGCTGGGGGTATTACCTTTAGGAACCCATATTCTTCCTTCTTCCCTAAATTCTGGATATGGGTCACATGCTCACCAGGTCTCCTGAGCATTTATAATCTCTTGTTTTAATGGAATAACATTTAAATAAGTAATGGTTGGAATTCATCAAGGGATAAATAGAGGAAAAAACTTCACAAGGTGGGCAGTGTGGAGAAACAAGAACACACAGATTGAAGTATTCTTGAACAAATCTAAGTTTCCATTTCTCTATTTATAAAATGGAATTGATTATATTTACTTTCCAGAAGTGTTATGAGAAGTGGGGACCTCTTCTATGGTGGAAAATCTATGAATAGAAGCTCTTTTGCTACCTCTTTCCTACTTTCTCTCATTTAAGAGCAATTTTATTGTCCTTTTCTGGAGCTATTTGTGGTACCTGATACATAGGAGACACTCAATGAATAAATGAAAGAACAGACTTCCACTGTTTTCAATTGTAGTTCTTAACCTTTGGTGGATTTTATATTTTGCATATTTAAGCGTTTTTTTTCTATGATATTTTCATACAGGCAGAACTAGCTCAATCAAAGGACAGGTTCATGGGTGTGAGAGAGTCTAAGACATTCATCCCATCATATCAGCACAGGGTTCTGGCTGGGTTATCAATTCAACCCACTGACCATTTTGATCCAGAGTTCTCATTGAAGCAACTAATTGAACAATTTGTCCAAATGTTGCAATTACTTGGGATTAAGATAAAAGTGAGATTGGCTAGTGAAAAATGGGCGTAATGGCACATATATACAATGAGAAGGGATGACAGCCATAAGTTGATTGTAGAAAGAGAAGCAAGAAAGTAAAGACTGTCACTGTTCTAATATATATTGCCCAGAGAGGACTTCACAGATTATCATTACATCCTAAAGTTGGCCTTTGACCAACTATTTTAGAATGAATCTTGGTTATTCCTGAAGTAATTTCTATTTAAAAATTTTTTCAAGTAAAAATTGTATACATTTATAGTATACAATGTGATGTTTTCACACACACACACACACACACACACACACACACACACACGGTGAGATGATTAAATCAAATTTACTAATAGACTCATTATCTCATGTTTTTAGCAATAAGTGTATTTAAGATCTAATCTCCTAGCATTTAATATATATATATATATATATATAGTTATAGATGGACACAATACCTTTATTTAATTAATTTATTTTTATGTGGTGCTTTGGATTGAACCCAGTGCCTCACACTTTCAAGGCAAGCTCTCCCCCACTGAGCTACAATCCCAGTCCCTCTTCTAGCAATTTTTAAGTAGACAATCTATTATTATTAACTATGGCCACCATGCTACTTATTAGATCTCTGGAATTCATACAACCCAACTGAAATTTTGTATCCTTTAACCAACAACTTCCCATCCATTCCCAATACTGTATGAGTCAGTGCTTGGCAACTACCATAATATTCTCTGTTTCTATTAGTTTGACCTTATTAGATTCTGCATGTAAGTGGGATTTTAAAGTGATTTATATTTTATCTTTATGCTGGCCAAAAGTACTGGGTAGGTGCTGACTTTGTGATAAGTCCCTCGTGGTGGTCTTTTTTTTTTTTTTTTTTTACTCCCTGTGGGTAGAAGCACACCTATTCTACTGCTTCCTTTCAGTTTTGTGTCCATGCTTTTTTATCTTTTCATGTTTATAATTTGGTACTTCCTAAAAGCATGCATGAAAGTGGCAGCTCTGATCCCAAAGTTCAAGCAAAGTTTGGGTATCCTTTCTGGAGCTGTCCTGTCCAATGTGGTAACCGCTAGTCACATAATCTATTTAAAATAAAATTAATCTTTTAATATGTTTTTGTATGCAATTTGCCAGAATTTTATTGAGAATTTTTGCATTTATGTTCATCAGGAATATTGATCTGAAGTTTTCCTTCCTTGATGTGTCTTTGTCTGGTTTTGACATCAGGGTGATACTAGCCTCATAGAATGAGTTTGGAAGGGTTCCCTCCTTTTCTATTTCACAGTGCCAAGGCAACTCCCTCAGTTGGCATCTATCTAGTGCATGGTATTTAGTAGTTCTCAGTAAGGGGAAGCTTAGTGTTTCCCTGAAACTATTGCTGCTGATGTCTTAAATTTAACTTCTAGGTTCATTGTATGAATAAATTGAGATGATTTATATGCATATTAACTTATATTCCTGCAAATTATCAATTCCAGATACACATTGGCTGCATTTTAAAATGAATTTGTTGATTTTCAGGAGTATAAATAAAATATGTATACACACACACACACACACACACATACGAATCATGTTAATTTGTGTTGGGCTGAGTTTCAAAGCCAATCTTTGAAACATCCATACATTCCATACATCAATTGACAATGTTTGTTCTCTCTTTGAGGTACATGATACATTTTATGATAGTTGGTGTCTTAGATGCATTAAAATATGGTGTTATGGTCTGGATCTAAAATGTCTCCCAAAGACACATGTGTTGAAGGCTTGATTCCCAGTATAACAATGTTCAGAGATGGTGGTTTTGGGAAGTGATTAGATCATGATGGCTCTGACCTCACCAGTGGATTAATCCATTGATAACTGAATGAACTACTGGGAGGTGGTAGAAACTATAGGCTGTGGGCAGGGTTGCAGGTGTGCCCTAAAGGGTATTCCTTGTCTCTGTCTCTGATTCCTCATTGTAATTAACTGAATAGCTGTCCTCCACCATGCTCTTCTGCCATGATGTTCTGTGTCATCTCATACAATGGAGCCAACTGAATATAAATTGAAATCTCTGAAACCATGAACCAAAATACATTCTTCCTCCCTAAGTTGTTTTTCTAAGGTATTAGCAATGCAAAAGCTGACTAACACAAATATAGTTACATTCTTTTAGATGTACTTCATGTTTGTATTAATTATGTCAAAATATACTCTACTGTCATGTATAACTAAAAAGAACAAATAAAAAACCAAATATGGTTGCAATCTAAAGTGTTTTTATACTATGTTCACTAAAACACTTGGGCTCTGAAGAAATGCTTCAGGGGTGGTTTTTCTCCTCTCTACTCCCAAGCAACTCAATTTTTATTTATTTTATATAAGAGGAATCAACTCACATTTTGTTTGAGAACAACATTCTAGTGACGTATCAAAGTTTAAAAACTGCTACTTTAGAAGAAATAAATAACCACAGTGATTTTCATTCTAGAATTTAAAACATTGTTTTTTTTAAACACATAGCGATATACACTTGTAAGAAGGAATTAGAGGAAAACATGGAAATCAAGAAAATACCCATTTAAGAACTTTCCCTCCAAAACTGAAAAATTTAGAACATCGTCAAAACTATACATCTCAATTTCTCTTTGAAATATGATATGAAGTCAGTTCAAACCTGTCATTGTTCAATAAGTCCATAACCAGAATATCAATTCTCAAATATGCTGGCCCAAAGACATTACAGAATCAAAGGCTCTCCAGAGCCGATATCTCTCTTGGCCTGCTGGCTGTGGCAAAAACYTTCACTGGGGCCCTGTGCCCCTTCCTTCTGCCTTTTGCCCAGTTGTTTTGTGCTGTAGAAAGAGAATACAGCCAGATAAGCTTCTGAAAGATGGCCCAGGGAGATTTTAGGAAGGGAAGACTTGTGTTGACCCTGGGTTGATACTTGAGGCATGGAAAAGTCAGAAGAAATCAGCTCATAAAATCTGAAAGGAGACTGGATATAAGAGGCTGGTTCTGTGCATTTCTAGGATCTAAGGGAGCTTTGGAAAGAGTCATTATGACGTGCTCCAGGTGAAAATCTGGGAACTCTAAAACAGGCCTCATTCCTAAAAAGTTAGTGAGTCTGGTAGAGGAAAGGAGTTTGTACCTTGGCCTAAGAATAGAAGTGAGGGACAGTTAGCGGGGAAACATCAGACTCCAGGGCTGAAATTACAAGAAGAGTAGCTTCCACAGAGAGCCAGGCGGGGGCCGGGGGGTGGGGGGTGTCTGCAGGAGCCTGAATCACTCTTAAAGCAACCCAAGCCAACTCAACTGAGTAACAGGAACCATAAAGTTGTACTTCTATAATTGTGGACTGGTTGGTAGCTCAGGATTCCCTTTTTGGGGGGCACTTTGTTTGGGCATTTTTAACTAGCAGCTCCCTGTGTGCTGTATTATAATGATTATTTGAGGGATATGGATGATTCGAATGCAGGAAGGCTAGGAAACTCAGGGGCTGAGTTTTGAAAGGGAATTTCCTATTTCTGGGCTATAAGCAGCAGAAATTATTCAGAGAAATAGCCCCCAGGTATATATCCCAGGGAGAACTCTTGTTTTGGAGAGGAATTTGGTCATAATGATACATTGTCAGAGTGGACTCCATGGGAGCATGGGGCACAACAAGGCTGGGCCAAACCCTTGGGAACTCTTTCTACTCAGAAGTAAGCATTCCAAAGGGCAGGGAGTGAGAACTGCACAAGGAACCAAAGGACCTGACTTAACCAAGCCTTGTGACATTGGGAAATTCATTAACTTCTCTAAGTCTTCAGGAGTTTCCTCTTTAATTTTAGGGGTCAGATGAGGAGTCTCAAATATCGGTTCTCAAATGTGCTGGCCCAAAGACATCATTACAGAAGCCAGAGGCTCTCCAGAGCTGGCATCTCTCTTGGCCTGATGGCCACAGCAAAAACATTCAATGAGTCTCAAAGGCTCTTCCAGGACTGAAATTCTAAGATTGTATGCCAAAGAGAGGGGGGAAAGTAAAGGAAATGGGTATGGCCACATAGTTCGTCAATTACCAGCAAAGACCATGGAGATTATAGTGTCTCTGGACAGCCAGAATTCCTTTTCTTCTTTTATTGTTAGAGAATTTGCAGAAAGCATTGTATCCCAGTGCCTTAGGGAAAGAGTTGGCAAACTTTTTCTGCAAAAGGCTAGATAGTAAACACTTTCATCTTTGTAGCTGTGAAATTTGTCACAACTACTCAAC